TAGAAAAATTGGATGGTTATAAAAAAGGATATATATCTGTGTGGAAGGTTAGAATTTCTTTCAGAGCTGCTATAACTATCACTTACAATCTTGATCAATGGAGGACAGGGGTCAGCAGAGGTCAACAAGACTTTATAGGATGTTTCAGAAAGAAACTTACAATATTAATCTAACATATAATACTGAAGTCCTTTTTGTTCAGCCTGAAAACCAGACTCTTATAATTCTTTTTATTAATACAAATTAGAAACAGATGTTTACCCAGAGTTTCCCAAGACCACTGAATTATATACCAGTTAAAATCTCTCTGAATCCATTCTGATCCACCCAGATACAACATAGGTTTGTACTAATGAATAATGAAGATGAGTAAATGTAATAAGGATAGCATTTATTTTTTAAAAAAAAATAGATTGAATATGTTATTGAATTGCATTTTACTAAAATAATTCTATACTGTCCTTCATCCAAATGGATCTCATAGCAGATGTACAAGACATACAAAACTCTTTGAATTATAGAAAATAGCATATATACATTAAAAATTAAAAAAAACCAAACCCAACTCATGCTTTGGATGCAAAACAGACCAAATCATTATAAGAATAAAAATGATTAAGCAAAACTGATCCAGTAATATTATAATGTTAGTGCTAATTATAATTCAATTATTTAGAAAACTTACATGGCACCTTGTGTTGTACATGATAATTGTAAGTAGTTCACAGCAATAGTCCATAAAAAATGAAATATAAAGCCACAACATGCAGTACATCATTCTTCCCACCAAAGTACCAAAACATCTCCTCAACTCCACTTTCGCTGGGCTCACTTCCATCCTAGCCTAGTGCTTGCATGAACAGGCAGGTCTTCATGGCCCTCAGGAAGGATAAGAGGATGGGGGAAGAGCTCAATAAGATTCTGGATATTTCTGTCTGCCTGAAAAGTGAAATCTGATGTGGTGGTCAAGCAAATGATAGGATGAAATACATGGTTGGTTGCTGGATTGCATTTTGTGCAGATCAAATCTAATGTCAGGTTATGTCACCTCTTCTCTTCTAGCCAAATGAAGGAAGGGGAATAATCTATCACTGTCTCTATAGCTTGTAGAGGACAAAAGGTATTGAATGATGCTGATTGCTCTTTTGATACCACCAGAACGATCACTGTCAGTGGTGTAATTCCTGTTCATTAATACATTAGAAACTTCAGCATTTCAAATATGAGAAAGAAGCACCAGAGTAATCAAAGAAGGGGTGGGATTTCAATATTGCTGTTAAAATTTACTTAGTTGAAGTCTAGCTGTTGCTGAAGTAACAATGCTCTTGTTGGACAGCTCCCTTCATGAACCTGAGTAATCTGATCTCTGACCTACCACTTTGATAAAAGCAGAGGTTAAACCTTTTGGCCAGAACAAGTCATATGTATATTATCGCTCTTCTACTTTCCAACAAGAATATTTAAACTCCAGTATAAAAATTCAGAGATATCATAAGCAACCTGTCACTATGATTCCAAAAAAGCTACTTGTGAATTTAAAAATTAGTAGCTCGTTAGACAAATTGAAAGTTCTTCCAAGAGTTGACTGCTACTTCTAACCCATAGAGTCTTGCTAAAATTCTGAAAATTGCAACTTTCTTTTGGAAAAAGAAAGTTCAGCTCTTGTGAGTACTTGCTGTGCCCGTATCACTCACTACAAGCAAAAATAGAAAGGCATCCATTTGTTTCCAAATGCAAAACATACTATTTTTAAATGTTCAGAATTGCAGAGGCTCTGCAAAAACCATAAATTTGCAACTTGCACAAAGATACATTTTCAGTTAAAAAAATGAATAGAAATGTCTCATATTGAACAATTAACAAAGTGTGAAGTTAATAGTAAAGAAACAATATTCTGCTCATGTAAATATTTGTGATATTAAGGAGGCTAAAATCCTAAAATAACAACCAGATTAGTTAAATCAATTTGTCTTGATTCATTTGTGGGTTTTTTTAAATTTCCAGGTTCTGTTCAACAGAGACATGTTTTATTCATCCTTTTTATTTCATATACTTCTAAAATGTTCATTTTAAAAGTATCTGACATCCAGGGGTATGACTGGAAGTCAAAAGATGCCCTCTTTTTCTTTTTTTTAATTCTTAAACTTTAAAAATTTAACACTTAAGCAGTGTTCTTCCCCTGAAGTTGAAGGTTGCTATATTTGCCCATTTTATTTGTCTTCATGATGGAATATCATTCTAGAAGGGTTCTGGATATAGGTGCCATGAGCATAAAGTCTCTCTCATCTGGCCACAAGTGCACTAAGCCTCGTTAGTTTTCAGCATCATTTAAATACATGGCTGACTCCATGCTCATGTGTCATTTAATGCAGGGGTCCTCAACCTTGGCAACTTTAAGACTGGCTGAGGAATTCTGGGAGTTGAAGTCCATGAGTCTTAAAGTTGTCAAGGTTGCGGACCCCTGATTAAATGTGTACCATAATTCTGATTTCTGGCTTAACCTTTGCAATTTGGTACAAATTTAATTTTTTTGAATTGAAGTGAGTGTCCTGGTTAAAATTATTTCATGTTCTGCTTTAAGATTACTACTATATGATATTGCTTTTAGGATTGTGTTAGTAAAAAATTGACTATAAATATATAGGGACACACAAATACACAACATAAACTGTAGGAAAGGAAAAGGGGAGATAAGAAAACACTGTTCAAACAAGCATACTAGAATAATACCATGTCCCTGGAGGCTGCTCATTGCAATTATAGAAACACATACTAAGGAGGAACAATAGAACTTAAAAATAGAAGGAAAGGAAGAAAGGCAGCTACTCCTTGTCTCCTGGAAAATTTTATATCCCAGTTTTAAATCTATCTTTTCCCCTTCTCTAAAATGGCTAGGGAAGGAGTTTGCATGAGTTGGGATAGGCTTCCTGTTTGGGTCTTCTCGTAAGGCCAAAAGTCCACTTAATCCAGCACTTTGTTTCTCTCAGTGGATTGCCAGAAGGCTCTGGGAAAGCTCACAAGCAAGACAGGAATACAAGAGTGGGTAAAAGTGTGTAAGTTTACTCCCAGACATTTCAATGTTTGAAGCCAAGGCAAGGCACACTCTCAAGTGAAGTTAAGTCCGAGTATGTTATTTTGGCACATGGGACAGAAAATTCCACGAGTGCCTTTTCAATCTCTGGCAATAACGATACAATAATAGCAATAATAATTTAGTTTACAAATTGCTTCTTTTTTGTTATCAATACTGGCTGCTTAATGGGTCTACTGCTTAATTTGCCTAATAACAGGATTGATCTGAAGATAGGCCCAGAAGTCTACATACTGATTAATATTTGTGAGTAAAAGTACCACTATAATCAAAACATTCCATTTTAAAGAGCCAAGCAAATATACCTTACTTCCCCCCCCCCCGAGTGATGCCTATGTGAATGTAAATAATACCCATCTAGAAACAGCCTGTTTACAAAATACACAGACATTCCTACTTGCTGACTGGGTAAAGGACAAAAAAAAAAAAAAAATGCTTACATCAACATTTGAAATCAAAACACTCTTAGCTTTTTAATAAATATATTCCAGCAGTTCAAAACTCTTCTGGAGATTATTATGAAAGAATAAAATCCAATGTACTTTTATTTACAATAAAATCCAGATTGTTTTTGATTATGCAGAAGCAGCTAAAAAAAACAGGTGTGTTTGCAAGAAAGTGGGCAAATGAGGGAATATAAACTTCATTAGCCACTGACCATTAGCCAATATACATATAACGGTATGTGTGTGTGTGTGTGTGTGTGTGTGTGTGTGTAAACATTATTGCTTTTAAAACTTGTTAGCTGCCCAAAATTATTTCATTAAAATGGGCAATCATATATATTTGTATAATAAATGTTAGAGATTTGTTTTCAAATCAATATGCTGGTTCTATTTTGCTTCTATAGTCTTATGGTCATAATAGTATAAATACCAAGTTCAATAGACAAATCATGCAAATACAGTTCAAACTAGTTTATGTTCCAAATGATGATCAATGAACCAATGCATTCAGTTTCTCTGAAAAATCTTATAGACTGTTAATAACATTCTACTGCATGGTTTGGGTAGGGGTGTATGTTTTGGGTCTGTGTGTATATTCAGGCAAATAGCTCTGAACTTTCTAAAAAAAAGAGAATAAAATAATCAGCATTGAACATGATACACGTATATCCTGACAACATGCTGTACACTCATTATTGTGATATATATATTGTCAGTCAAAACTTGTACCATCTCCCACAATAATTATTATTTTATTCTCTTTTTAAAGAAAGTTCTAAACTACTTGCATGAAACTTTCAAGGTTGTCCTTTAGGCATTGATCAAGGGTACAATCTCCTGACTGCAGAAAAACACAGAAAGAAACACAGTATCAGATTTATTCCATCGCTGGCTGAATATAAAAAACTAACCTGTGGCATGCTGCTATAGCAGAATCACAGAGAAGAAGGAGCCATTTAGGCCAGACTCTAACCTCTTGTTCAATTAAAGCATCTTTAACAACTGGTTATTTAATTTCTGCTGGAATACATCCAGTGCCCCGGCACTTCTCTAATAGGTTCCCTATCTAAATGCTCTTTCTGCTGGGAGCTGGGTTTTTTTTTTCATCTGTCAATCATCTGGGAACTTTGTCCCAAAAGTGCTTTCTTTCAATAAGCAACTGAGCTTTCTTGTTCTTCTGAAGAAGCTTCTTGGATGAGAAGGGAAACTCTTCAAGCAAAATAAGAAAGTCTAGTTGCCTTTTGAGACAACCATGACCTGGATGACTGAAAATCTCCATAAACATCTGGGAACTTTCTTCTTAGAATGTGTGCATGCCCACACATATAAGGGAGTCCTTGATTGGCTTAGCTTCCTGTGCCCCAGACACACAGAAATCTGTATATTTGGATAAAGAGCTTTTGATCAGGCTGAAATATATGTGTATATCTTTAAGTGAATACAATAAAATCTAGCAGTCTTACCTTCACCTGAAGAGCCTGAAAGATCTATGATGACGTACACTCTTCCTTCTGGCTCCAAATCAATCTGCAAGAGAAAGGAAGCAAATATTTATTATTAGAATTCCACTGTGTTCTTTTCATAGGGTGTGTTGTTTTCCTGAGAATTCTTACAGGATTCTTAATGCACTCTAGGCAGGCATTCGCTTAAAGGATTTGGGAAGAAAAAAGAATAGATGCCATTGAAGTATCATAAACCAACCTTAGAAAAAGTAAAACTATAAATATTTAGCTACGTTTCTGGATTTGGATCTCATAAGGCCATTTCCTTATTTAGAAAATGAGTAAGGATAATACTTCAATTGCTTCAGTGTATAGTTTTACCTGTTCTAGAATTTTAGAGGAGATAATACAAATTAAAACTCAAATTTAAATAATGCAGACCATGATATGTTACAATAATGAAAACAACCGATGGCAAAATCTTCATAACTTTTGTCTGTTTAAGAGTGGTTGTCAGAGATCTGCCCAAACTTTTTTTGATAAATGAAAAATGGGTCCAACTTTTTATATCGGAACTGTTTAAAAAAGAGATTATAAAGACTCATGCAGGCATTGTCACATTTCTACAAATAAGGTATTTATGGAGCTCATCCCTGATGGGCTCTGCAAATATCTGTTTGCTTTTACAAATGCTAAATCTTTCCTTCTAGGTTTAAGGACAGATAATTTCCACCAGATATTACATGAGAGGGATAAAGATATGTAAGTATACATTACTATGCTGCTTTATGCCTATACTTGATAGATGTCAGAAGGAAAAATGTGCAGCGTAAAAATACCTTGGAAATGGCATAGACAAGGAGCAACTAAGGAAAACATATCTTTAAATGATTTTTAGATGCCTTCTGTTGGCACACAGTTGGTAGTTTCTTTCTTTCTTTCTTTTTGCTGACCTTGGAGATTTTGATGGGACATGAGAGACATTTGAATTTCATACGTTATGGCTATTTTTCAGGCATTTAACACAAGATGTGTGCTTATTTGTCATCAATATATGGTTCCTGCAAGGTGCAACCAATGTCGCAAAAAAAATTCTTATTATTATTGTTGCACTTTTATATCAGGAATGGACATTTTTAAAGCTAGTGTGATCTACTAATTCTATGGTTCACCAACCAGAATCAAATTAAAAACAAAGCCATCGAAGCTGAAATGAAGGAATGAATAGATTATTATGTTCATAGATCAGCATAGACACATTCCAAATAAAAATCAAATATTCATATACAAACTAGTTTGGAAAATCAGTAAAAAAAATAGAAATTCAGGTAGTCCTTGACTTATGACTACAGTTGAGGCCAAAGTTTATGTTGCTAAGTGAGAAATTTGTTATGTGAGTTTCTCTCATTTTATGACTTTTCTTGCTACATTTGTTAAATAATCACTGCAATTGTTAAGTTAGTAACATAGTTGTTAGGTGAATCTGGTTTCCCCATTGACTTTGTATGTCAGAAGATTGCAAAAGGGGATCACAAGACCCCAGGAAACTGCAACTATCACAAATGTGAACCAGTTGTCAAGCATCCAAATGTAAACCACATGACCATGGGGATGCAACAATGGTCATAAGTGTGAAAAATGTCATAAGTCACTTTTTCAGTGTGGTTGTAACTTCGAATGGTCACTAAATGAACTGTTGTAAGTCAAGGACTACCTGTAAACATAATACATAAATAACCATCTTATGAACAGTTCTTTTTATTTTGTTACCTGAGCAGAATTCTTAGCCAAAATTTAGCCATGAAATTGCCTAGCTTCTGTTTCTATCAGTTCTTTCTAAATTGCTAGTGGCTTCACATAATCTTTCAGCCAGGAAAAAAAAGGTGTTTTACCAGCTGCTGCCTGGCTATAGGCTTTCTTTACCTCTTTTGGAGTGGAGAAACTGCTAGGTTCTGCTTTTTCTTTAGTTTTTAGAGTTCAATAAAGAAAAGAACAACCTTCTCTGAAACCTGCCTCTCTTTGATCAGGATGTTCTCAGTTATAATCCAGTGCAAATTCACAGTCCTCTGCTGCATATAGCAACCTAAAATGGTGATGTAGAGAGTATAGAGAATGGCCTTGAAGGACAGTGGAAAGATCTGTTATCAAGGCAATAATCAGACAGGTGGGGCTTAAGTCCATTCCAAGAAACTAATTTGAGAAAACAAGTCCCTCACTAATTCACATGAAGATAAAGTGAAGGAGGAGAGAATTTAGAATTGCAAAATTCAGTCTCTATACCTGTTCTAATCAATTGTGACTCTATACCTGTTTAAACTGATAAGGCATTTGTTTTTTAGTCTGATCCAACCTATGGGTTGATAAGTGAAGACAGGAATTAGAAGCAGTGGGTGAAGGATGTGAGGCTCTGACTAAAGAGTTGTAAATTACCAGAACAGAACTACATATCTGGATCAAGAGGCATATATCAATTGGTTTCTTGTCTCTCTCAGGGCCTGCCTTTTTCTCAGTCCATTATAATTGTTTATATGTCTTTTAAGAGATAGCACATCTTGTACTGAATGAGGGGACTATTTTTACATTCTCTAAACTATATTCATTTGTTTCTTGAATACCTGACATTCATTGTTAAGTCATGATTGGTCAAGGAGGGACCAATTATTAACAATTATATAAGCAGATCTAATAAAAACAGATAAAATTGACTGAAAGAGCTGCATCAGAATGACAAGAGACAATAAATTCTTCTTCCAGAATATCTAATTGTAATTGGTATGCAACATACCCAGACCCTTAAAGTCTCCAATGTTGTCCTTGGATTCCCTGAATCATTCTACCTCTGTGATGGTTGCAAATATTTCAATAGCATATTGTCATTCAAACCTAATCTGGCACTGATTAGGATCGGTTTCACCTTGGCTGGCAGACAAGAAAGCCCAGGAATACATAAAAACAGTGAAGCAGGGAAGGAGACCAGTCACTGAATACATTGAAGAATTCAGAGAACTGACCAATCACCTTTGCTGGCCGGAAGACATCCTGGTAAGCTGTTTCCAGGATGGACTCAACAAAGAGCTATATAATGCCTGCGTAGCTTGCGGAGCCCCGGGACAGCTGTACAACTGATGCCTGCTAGCTGAGGAAGTAGAGATCGATCAACACAAGCACCTATATTGCCTGGTGAGACCCTGGAGAGAGATCTCTATGGATTTTATCGTGGAGTTGCCTGATAGTGCTGGAAACATTATAATTTGGGTTGTAATTGATTTGTTCTCTAGATAAATTCATTTCATTCCATGTCCCAAGATCCGAACTGCAAAAACTTTAGCTCTTTATGCAAAACTCTTTGTGCAAAATGTATATCATTTTCATGGGGCCCCACAACTTATAATTTCAGACAGAGGGGTTCAATTCACCTCTAAATTCTGGATTTGATGGGTTCTAGTCAAGGGTTATCATCTTTGCCTCATCCTCAAATGAATGGGGGGACAAAGAGACTGAACTCAGTTCTAGAACAATACATGAGATGTTTCATTAATTATCAGCAGGACAATTGGTCTGACCTGTTATCATTTGCTGAGGTGGCTTATAATAATGCTGTGCACTCCAGTACAGGTTTCACTCTATTTCAAGTAGCTAATAGTGAAACATTTGTGGCCATGCCTGAACTTCCTATCAAAGAGCCTGAAATCCCTTCCTTGCAAGAATGGATTAAACAGTTAAAAAATACATGGCCAGAAAAGCTCTGGATGAAGCCAGAGAAGCCTATAAGACACAGGGCGATAAATGGAGGGTGGAGCAAAAACTATATAAAGTTGAAGACTGAGTATACCTCTCCATGAAGTATTTGAAAACTTGACAGCCTTCTAAGAAATTAGGCCCTAAATTTGTAGGACCTTTCCCTACAGAAAATCCACCGTTTTCCACTGCAGTTCACTCAAATCAGAGGTTACTTCTAACCTTAGGCCTCCTGTGCCTCAAGCACCCACACCTATCATGATTGAGGGTGAACAACACTTTGAGATTAAGGACATTTTGGAATCTCGAATACACCATGGGGTGACACAATACTTAGTAGCTTGGAAGAATCTCCCTTCTGCCCAGAATGAGTGGGTGTACAAGAAACATGTTAGACCCCCTAAACTTCTAAGATGTTTTCATTCTCAATATCCTGATAAGCCTAATTAATATGCCTGTATTGTTTGTTCCCCTCCCTTTTTGTCTTTTAGGTGGATTTCCCATTCTTTTAGGAGGGCCATATGTTAGGTCCCTAAATCCTTATTGTCTTCCTTGCATATATACTCTTGTGTTTTTGCTTTGGGGCCTGCCATTCTCCTGGGGGGAGGGGGATATTTGCTTTCACTTGGGACAACTTTCGCTTTCTGTTTTTCTTCTCCCACCTCTATCCACTTGAGAAAGGAATGTGTCTCCCTTATCAGGGAGACAGTTACAGAGAAACAAAACTGGAAAAGATCTTGAGATGCGCACCAACTATACCAGTTACCCACACATCGTGCCACCTGTGGATTGGCTGGATTTCAAATGGACATTATGACTTTGGTGGGAGGAGGAATATTGCTAGTTTAACTATAGCATTAAGTGGGATTTCCCCCAGATCTCACCTTGACTTCCCTACTGTCACTAACCCCTAATAAAAATTTCCTTTTGAGACAATGCCTGTTTCAACAGTTCTGTTTTCTTGGGTGGTTAGCTGAGATAGATTCTTACACTTAGTATAGCTGGATGGGAAGTGCAGCTGAACATTATTAAAGTAGATTTTTGCTTTTGACCAGATTTGTACAACTCAAGGATGATGGTTGTTAAGCAGTACTGTATACTATATATACATTCTTAAAGAGCAAGCTATCATGGGAGAAATTTAGGGTGATAGGTTATACAAAAGTATCAAATAGATGTAATGGAATGATTATTGTTTAGAGACTGAGATATGGACATCCAAGATTGCATGAAATCTCACTTATTCTGTTCCAGGAACTGTGAAAAAAGAAAAAGGTTTATAATCCTCAGTATACGAATCACTAATTGCCAATTAAACAAAAGCAGCAAAAGGTAATATAACTCCTG